ATTAGTTCACAGAGATATATTAAAGATGTGATTAGCTTAGTTTTGAAATGGAAGCTGGCCTGCTACGGCCTACAAAGCAAGGATCACGTGACGGACCAGAGACTGTACGTTGCCTTCATGTCATACCATTCATATATACAAGCAGCCCATTGGAAAATAATTCCTGTCAGCCTCCTAGTCTTAAATTCAAGTCAAGAAATATCAGGAATTTCTTACAGCCAGGATCTCTCTCACTTGGTGAAGAAAACATCAGAAGGGTCAACACACTGTTGGCTAAAAGCTGCAAAGCCATCATTGCAATTGCATTTAATAAAATTAAAGATTTATATTAATACAGTCAAGTCAGCTTATTTAACTATACATACAGAGAATCTGTTTTGTTTTAAGGAATCCCTAAATAACACAACAAAAGTAGTGCATTTAGGACTATTGTCTGATGTGACTATCAGGCTAGCAGTGGCATTTTCCTGTTTTTCCCTTTCTGCCGACATGTGAATGCAGCATATGTGACAGAGGCAGCTAAGGGAACCAGTACTCGCCTTGCTAATGGTAGAATTCAGGCAGTGTAGACTCTCATCACTATGCTGAATATGTACGTTAGAAGAAGAAGAAGTAGTATTAATGTAGTGCGGGGGTCAGCAAATAAGTTTTGCAATGAAGCAATATTTTCAACCGTTGGATGTGGATAAGAATATAAGGCATAATATTGACCTGCACTCACATGTTTTGTTAGCTCAATTGGTAAGGCGCTGGACTTGCAGCTCAAGGTATGTGTGTTTGATCACTCATTGGGACAAACAAAAACAAATGGATTCTCAGATCACGGCATGTGCTGCACTGTTATTGTTTCTGTGTTTGATCCGCATCCATCAACCTACGGACGCTTTTTCATTTCTCTGAATCTTCAGGCAGAGGACATTTAGGGGAATCACGTTTTCTGATGGCTCGTAAAGAGGTGGGTCAAGCAGGCTACAGACTCTTTTAATGTCATTCAGAATTTTTCAAAGTAAAAGCTCAGTTCATCTCCAAATACTGCATTTCAAACTTCTTGCGCTTTTATTTTGCAGGCAAAACCACTAAAGAGGAAGTGATTATGTGAGTAACTGTTGCTGCCGTAACTGAGATCTATTTCAGCACCACTATCAAAGTATTTATTTATTTATATATTTTGCCGCTCTCGGAGCACCATAATCTGACCATGGGCGAGCTATTATTGATGGCGGGAAGTTTTGGCAGTGGTCTATAATCACAGAGAGAATGAATCTGTTTCCCTTGTCAATCAATGTTTGTATAAAATGTATCTAATGTGTGGTTTATAATGTGGTTTATAATGGACTGTGGTGCAGAAACAGTGACAGTGTTTCACACTCTTGGCTGACATTTTCCACAGCTCAAACACAATGCTACTGTAGTAAAGTAGTTATAGTTTGTGCAAATTGACCATCGAGTCCCAACCTCCTCACCTGTACACAGAGGTGTTTCTATTATTTGGCTTCATTGATTATTGAAAAGGGGTAGAAAAATAGCGTAATACAAACATGTGTCAGTAAAAAATCATTTTAAACGCCTATTCAAGGCATATCCTAAGTTAATTGAATGCGATTTAAATATTTATTTTAAAAATCAAGCCATTTTCAAGTCATCTGTCTCAAGCCTAAGTCAAGTCTTAAGTCATGAACACCAAGTCAAAGTCAAGTCGAGTCTTTTATCTGTTTTAGTCAAGCAAGTCTCAAGTCTTCAAATTTGCATCTCGAGTCTGACTCTCCTCCACCTCTGGTTCCTAGGCCTGTTAAGCTTTTTGTTCTTTTTATGTATTTATTTTTTTACAGTTTCAGTGAATACAAGAATGCCCAGACGAGTATAGAAAACTAAATAAATTAAAAATAAATAAAGTTTAATCATCCACGATAATTATTTGATGCATTTTGGATAGCCGTACAAATGGATAACGTTTTAAAAACAGTTTTTTTAAAAAGAGGATTTAATAGTTTTAACATAAAGTTTGGGTTCCTGAAAAAATAAAGGTTTGGTACCAGAACATTTGCATTTATTGTATGTGTAAGGTAAATGTACAAGAGAAAATATCCAGTTTAAGCCTTGTCATGTGATGACTGGATAACAGTGTCTCTTATATTATTCATGATTAAATATTTTAAATATTTATAAATTTCCATATTGTCTTCCATTGTACATGCTCTACTAGTACCAATTTTTCAACTTGAAATTCTTAGTAATATTTGAAACAATGGGTCAGAGAGAGGTAAACAAAAGCAGCCTTCTCTCAAGTCTAACCTGCGAGCATGGGGTTTTCCAGCAGAATTGGCAATTGTTGCTAGCAGATTTTATCATTACCTCCACAAGACAGTTTAAAAGGCTGCCACCAGTTGACTTGTTAATGTTTCCAGGTGACTTGTTTTAAAAGCAAGAGTCCTGTGAAAAGGATCTTAGATATGCACTTGATGACTGTGTGCGACTGTGTGCATATTTTGCTAAAAGACTGAGGCTTAAAGCTCCATTAGGCATACACGTTCATACACGTTATCAGGGCCTTCCAGGGGGGCGGGGGCAAGGGAAAGCTTTCTGGGGCCCTGCCACTGGGGGGCCCCATGCAGTCCTGCACTAGTGATGGTCATCCTAAATATAAGCAAAGATAACCAAATTTTATTTGAACCAAAATACTCACTATTACTCATTAAAACAACAGAAAATTGCATTTTATTTAATGTTGCTTTAGTAAAATGTAGCCTGTTTCATTATGAAAATCCCCTCTACTGAAAATAGTATGGTATGGAGTAATGTTTGTTGTACACAACGTCAAAACATCAAAAGTACACCGCATGCGGCAGGCCATGTATGTGTTTATTTAGGAGATAGAGAGAGAGCACACCATGCGTTAACAAGAGAAAGCAGATTTGGGGAGCGCCTATTTACTGGAACTTTTCAGGGGCTCAGTCATTTCTGTGGGCGGGCCTGCTTGTTATAGGCAAAAAGTCAGCGACCTCACCATTGTGCTTGTTATGCAGTTTAGAGCTAGTTAGTCCTAGAATTAATTATGATAAAGAGTTGTTACAGTTGCCAAGCTATGATGCTGATTGGGTTTAGCGAAGGATATATTAGGCTAAACATGTTGTCGACCAACATCTGTTCAGAACACAGAGAATAATTTGCAGTAAACTAAGGACTTTCACTAACTCGATCGAGGTTCGAGTCCCGCGTGATAGTTGACATATTTTAAGCTAAATGATATTCTGTAGATGACTCACATCACATGACTTCTATTAATTACGTCATGCGACTTACGTAATGTACTTACTTTCACCCAAACCGCAATCTTTAGCCTAAACCTAACCAAGTGGTTTTGTTGCCTGAAACTAACCAAACTACAAGAGTTTCACATCTTTTACCACATGTTAAATGTCATGTGACTTAGATCACATGACTATCGTACTCCTGCCGCTGGACTGGGAGTTTGCCAAAAATCGTACATTTCGAAATGGGGAACGGTCTCCAACTGTCTTATATGTCTTTTTGGAACGCTTGACGATTGATCAGTTTTGCCGTTAAGGTATGAGGACGTGTATCAATCTCCTTATCTGACTACAGGTTAGACAGCAAACGAGTATGTAAGACTCTGTGTCTGGATGACATAAGCACATATCTCCTCTGTTATGAAAGTGGGAAGGCAGCATGCTGGTATTAATTATGTGGACTTTTAATGTGTTTTTGTGTGTTAAAGTGCTTTAAGTGTTTTGTGTCAGGCAAATTTTGATCAGAGCCATCTGCTTCTGCTTTCTCCACCAGCCCTCCCTCTCTCTTCTTCTAGTTAACACTCAGCCAGTATTTCCTCAGAGACAACTTAGTCAACACATTCATGAGAGGGAGAATTAGCAGCCAATTACAGTCAGACAGACACAGCTTTGGATGTGGACCTTGAAGGTTACTGGAATAAAGTTTAATGGTGTTTCACTGAAAAAAATGTGTTTATATCCAAGAGAGCTCTGTGTAAGATTACTTCCTTCTGTCTCCTCTTCATCATCGTTCCCTCCTCTACTTTCCTTTTCCCCCTCCTTATTGTTACTCTTCTCAGGTCTAAGAACATCTTTCAAAATTCTGTTTTGTTTCTGATGGATATAACACAGCAGTGATTCAACAAAAACCCAGTTCCTGACAGCTTTTCCAATCTCTGAACTAATGAAGGTTTTTCCACGTTTCAGTCTAAACCACAGGGCAACCTTTGCTCTCAGAGCAGTGAAGGTCAGCAGATGGTTTCTTGGCAACAGCAAAAAGAGGCCAAGGGAGCAAACAAATAGATTTACTTTGATTTACTCGGTGAAAGGATTAATGCCTCACTGTCACTTCATCTTCGTCAGTTATTATCAGAGCTGTCTGTTTAGATCTTCATTAGTTAAATCATGTGAGCATACAGTAGTAATCATGCGTCTCTGGGAGATTATTAGCTTGGGTTCAGATGTGGTTTGATTCAATAGTGGAAATGGCCACATTTTACTGGAGAAGCATACTTTAATTGTAGTGTTAAACTTGTGTTTAGGGACAGGTACCATTTTATCAATAATACTACTCTTCATCAGCACTCTCATTGGTTCTTTTTTATTAAATGAAAGTGGTTAAGAAATTGTATTCTTTAAAAAGAATAAATTCAGAACACGATTAGAATTAACATGTTAAATATAACTAAATGTTGTTTGTGTGAAATAATACGTGTTTCTTTGTGGCCCTATTTGAGGTCAGCAGATAGGGCCACATCTGACGCTGCAGTGAGATTTGCTGAACAAAGGTTTCCATCATCCATCCATTTGTCATAAACACAGGAACTTTAGTAATTCAAGCCGTCCAATATTTTAGTTTTTTTACTATTTGTTATGACTTACTATAACCTTTTCACTCATTTGGTTTTAGGTCTGTTACAAGTTGTCCCATGTCACATCTGACAGAGTCCTCTTGTCTCTTCCTCTCTCTCACCCTCCTCTTCTTTTCTTCAGGTCATGGGATGAGTTCCATGACTGTGCCAACGTGGCGATGGCCGGCTGTCCGGAGGAAGCTGCAGCTGTCTGGGAATCTCTCCGCCAGGAATCCAAGAAGATGCAGTTTTCCGGAAACCTGTACGATATGTGCTCCAACCGCAACAACCACCCAATAGCCTCAGTCTCTCCGCACGGCTCACCCAACCAGGAGGACATCAACCAGGAGTCTCTAAGAGGGGGCGCTAATCATCTGGCAGCCTGCCTCCACCTCCTCATGCTACTTTCTCCTCTGCTGCTGTTGTTTTGGGTATAACTACCCCAAAGAAATGGGACTAGTGTGAATAGATATAAACTCTGTGTATTTTTTCTTTGACAAGTCCATAGACTTTCCACCGTTTTTTTTCCTCTGCCCTGCCAGAGGTTGAATATTTCTTACTGCATGTTGAGATGCCTGGCAGTCTTTTTGATAATGTATCTGTAAACTGCCTGTGCCGTTTCATGCATATTCTCTGCCTTTTAATTAGTCTCTCTGTTAGAAAGGCGCACAAAATTCATGCAGAGATACTCAACCACGGTACAAACAGGCCTGCAAACACATACATACTTAAAGCGATGCATACAGCAGCCTCATGTCATCTGTCTTGTATATGAAGGTTCCATGGGGAGTCTGTCTTCCTGAGTGTGAGACGATAAAAATAATAACGGCCTATTTGCCAAACCTGAAAACAAAGTGATGAAGAGGCCAGGTCCGACAACTAGCTAAACTAATTAATTTGTCCACTTTACTGTATGATGAATTTGATAATTATGTAAATCTAACATACCCGGCTTTACCTACCTCGCAGTTTGACTCAGTGGATGTGAGGCGCTGTGATAAGTCTCCATTTTCCTCTTTCCCTCCTGGTCCCTGAACGCTGTGAAGCCCCCGTTTCTGTGACCAACAACAATGACAAGCTAAAAGCATGAATACCAATTATACAAACATTTGTACTGTACAGGAAGGTAGGCCTGTTCATTTGTGGTTTGCTTTAAAGATGTTTGAGGAAAATGTTCCTAAAATTTGATAGCAAAAGAAAACCAAAGCAAGATGTTCCTAAAAAACACCTGTGCCCAATCCACAGTAAGCACAATTAAAGAAATAAAACAGTCAAATAAAAATAAATTTTCAAAGGTCTTATTCCATTGTCCTGCATTAATTGTTTGGTTATCTCTTGCTATCTGTGAAATTTCAGGTAATGGGGTGCTTAGCTAACCCCTCCCAACTTCAATTAACAGCACTTTAGACTAGCATTATTGTTATCTCGTAGCCTGGTGCTTGCAGGGGTGTGTGTTTGGAGATCCACAGGGAAAAACATTTACGTTAATATTTCAAAAATTGTGTGGTTGCAGTGTAATTTATTCATTTCTCCATTGTCCTCCACTTCCTGATCTAACAACACAGATCATCAGTTGTGGGTGAAGGCCAACAGTCCTCTACAGCTGCAAATCACAATGGTTCTCCAGACACTCCATTTTGCTAAGTTGCACTCACTTTTTCATATCAAATCCCAAATCAGATCATATCCCTCTCAAAGTGATACCCTTTCCCGTCAGATGCCGAACCACATCACAGTACAGAACCTTAAAATACTCTGACATTTCACTGTGTCCTTAATAATTTTGATTTAAGAGATTGATTTGGTGTTAGAGCTTTAAACAACCAATAATTACTCTTGTTTGCTAGTAAAGCACAAATGCAGTGTGGTGTTTAGTCTGGTTTTATGAGACTAGAGATTTTTTAATTCTCACTTCAATGATTCATATAAATTCAATTGTGTTGCTCCCAAGAATCCTGGCTCAATAAAGTGTACAAAACTTTTGTCATCTGGGAATGACTAGAAAAAGCCCACGGCCCAAAAACAAAAAATGAACTCCTGACAGTTGACAGTTTTCTTCCAAACAAAGGAACTACTTGGTGCTCAAAAAGTCATACATTGTTTCCCTAAGTACTCGTCCTTAGATAAGGCACATACAGCACTGGATATTGGCTTTGGTTATACAGATTTGTTTGAAAATGCTTTGGGATGCAGTAACATTGTTTTGGATGGTATGAGGAACTAGATTGGTGTTTAGCTGCCTTTGAGAAACAACATTATCTAAGGGAATCGGAAATATCAATGTCATCAAACGGGGAATAATGGCTCCTGCAATTTGTCTTCACACTGATCATGTACTGTCACCACATAGGATGATATAGGAACACAAAAACTAAATAAAAAAACCCATTTCCATACAGTCTCAACTGCAGTATTGAAAAGAAGAGTCTTTTAGACTAAAGGCTATATAGAAAACTAGACTATATATGTATAAATACATTAGACTTAAATTAGAAATATGTTTGCTGAGAGACAAAAATAATGACATAGACAAATTTTTATTCTTTTATTTTGAAAATTAAGCAATTAACATTGTGTAAAACGTCACAGATTTATTATTTGCCAAAAAAGTGGATCAGCTTCCTCTGCAGCTGTGGCAGCAACATGAGTTTTGAGCTGAAGTTAAGTGAAGTCAGAGCGTGCTGGAGTTGTTTTTATTTGGTGCTTGCCCAAGTATGAAATTCTCCAGGGTTCCTCCTTGGCATCCTGCACTGTAGCCCTACCGTATGGAACCAATATGTTCTCCAGTCAAGCCAAGTGTATTTCATGCTCCAGGAGTCGTAGTTTGGCCCTGCAGGCCTGCTGAAGCTGCTTGTTATTCTAAGTGGCTGCGGGTAACAGTTGCTTCTGTCTGGCCCAGGATCAGAAATACTATCAGATTAGAGACAGACAGAGAGAGGGATGAGTGCACCTGGAAAACAAACACCATTCTGCCTAGTTGTTTGTGTAAGTTTGAATCCTCCTGTCTAGCAGAGAGTGTGTTGAACACAGGAGGCTTTAGGTTGTAGGGTTACTTTTCTTTCTTCACAAAAAATTTATCAAAGCTGGGCCGACTTTAAAGACTTACGCTAGAATGTGAAAAAGCACAAACCAGAATCCTCAAAGGCTGCAACAGTACATACACTTTAAGAGAGGTGGAAATAAATAAATAAATGATTAGACAAAGAGTTCTAAAGAGAGCCGTGATTCACCTTGAGAACTGATTTAGCCCATCTACCTTGCCAGTGGCAAGTTGGTTAAACATACCTACGGGGATGAGTTGAACAGAGTAGTATGGCGATTACAGTGGTGGCAATATTAGTTGTCTTATTTGGTTTGGGACCTCAATGTCAAAAGAAGACTTTTCATTGTCACACAGAAGCTCTAACAGAAATAAACCTTTGACCAATTTTAGATCTTGAGGCTGGATTTAAGTCACTGGAATGATGAGAATAAACCCAGTCACTATAGGGGCCCAATGGCAGAATACAAAGTGAAATCCAAATAGAGAGAAAAAAAACTCCAATCAGCCACCAGCAATTTTTTTTACTTAAGGGACTTAGCCAAGCGATATGCTTGGATGGTTCAAAGAGGCTGCTGTAGTTTTGAACTTTAATTAAACTGACAGAATTAGCAATTAGAGGCCTCAATGGCTGATTCACCAAGGTGCAGTAATTTGAAAACTATCTCTGCGGAGCTCAGATAAGATGTTGTCACTGGAGGCTAATTTGAGTATATCATAAACTTGAGGCTACATAGGAAAATCAGATTGGATGTGTTTGTCAAAATACAGACCTATGGCGAGTTCAGTCATCATAACCACACAGAGTAGCATTGTGTTATGGAAAAATAACTGCTTCAGATTTGATTTTAAAGTCTGTTTTGCGCTGAGGTGCTCTGAAACACCAAAAAAACCCACACAAAATCTCTTTTATGAAAAGATATGTTTCGTGTAAGGCAGGTGGACAAATCCAATTTGAAAATGGTTTTCAATAATGCTGCAGGGTAAATGCAACGTTATTGACCAGAGCAGAGCAGGGAATTATTTTCCAGTGCTGTGTTTGAGACTGTACATCTCTTCGCCTCTGGCAACAGCTTGGTGGTCTGACAAATAGGTTAAATTGGACAGAAGCGACTGCAGGAGAAAGGGAAACATTGTTAAACACTAATACATCATTGTCACATTAATGGTACAGCATATTTGGTGTTATTACTGTGAGGAAATGGCAGAGACAATTGCTAGCCTTTTTATTGCATTGCTGTTAGCGCTAATGTTCTTTTATATTAGGACAGCATTTTTACATACACCCTGTGCTTCATGTCACAACAAAGATTTGCAATTTACAGTATCTCCCCCTCTGCAAGACTCCTTCTCTACTAAAGAGGGTAAATATGTTTTAAAAGCAAAGGTCAGTGTGGGCTAAAAATGCTTGCTAAGGAATGTTTTCTACATTGGTCTTTGCTCAGTATATTAAGACTATAAGCTATGAGAATGATTTGTTAGCTCTGACGCTTAGCGACTCCGGAACAGGAAACCAGCTCTCAGAGCTCAACCCTAAATCTGTTGGAGGTGAAATTGCCCAGAACTTTTATTCCTGGCATCTTTTTTCTCTGGAAGTACAGTGCCTTCTAACAGTTTAGTGCCATAGAGCAGATCAATGCATTTTTCTCCAAATCCAGCCCACTGGTGCATCATGTAAAATGCAGTGTAGAGATAGATACTGCTGAAGTTCCCAGCAATGGTCTTAATTGTTTAAAGGAAATTAATTCCTAAAACTAATTTACTAATTTTGGGAAATATGCACGTGTCTTTTCAAGAGTTAGATAAGAACATTTATTCCAGTCTCAAGAGATAAAAAGGCACCAAACACCATGTCTGCTTACTGACTATTTCAGTCCTTATTGACAATCTTCCAAAATGAATGCGCAAGGTATTAAATTAAAAAGAAAACGACAAAACGACATGAAAAAAAAAATTCCTGAAAAAGGTGTGGGCTAAAGCTTTAGCTTTTTATACCACAGTTTTTACATAACATGTTATAATAGTCAACCCTTGAAAAAAATAAAATAAAAACTAATATTACAAATGTTTCATACACAGTATGCTGGGAGAGACGTAGCAGATGGCAACTGGGAAAATGCATGACATTTTGACCAGAGGTTTAAGTGGAACACTGGAACAGAAATAAGACAGACAGACTCTCACCATGGGAACCAAATTCATATACTGGCCTCGAGCAAATGGCTGCAAGCACGGCTGTGTTTTCAGACTCAGTGTTCGAACCTGAGACCTGCCAGTTTTAATTACTGATAAGACAAAAGAAGACCAATTACGACTTAAAACTTGGGAAAGTGAAGTACAAGATTAGTATGGCACTGACCTATGTGCACCATTGAAGATGCATTTTGTGAAGATTGAGGAGGGTGATAGAAAATAATTTTACTTTTCCCCTTTTATCTTAATTTTACTGCTGATATAGAGAAAGAAGAGAGTAGTTAAATAACATTTAAAGGCTCCTCTCGTTTTTACACACACAGACACACACACACACAAAATACACTGAAACAGCTATTTCTAATGTGGAAAGTCATATCACTGTTTTATGACAAGAAATGCAAATGCATTCATATGTATATAGACAATGTCATATATGCCGTGCAAGTGCTACTTTTAAAGCTTTAACATTTTCTATTAGTCTAGTTGTGCTTTATATCTTATCCATGTTATTCATAGGCCCATGATATCCTGCGTGATTTACCGGCGCAACTTCCGGTTATTCAATTCCCTGGAGTCTGCAAGAGTTAGCAATATGGTACAGTCTCTTCTCATAGACAATTTTCTGAAATAAAGGATGTGGGAATACATCTGGTGACACCTTGAACTTGGTAATGTGATCACACCTCTGCCTTCTACTACAGAGTGATGGGAAGATGACCTGAAGAAGTTAGTAGCCCTGAATTAGCTCAGCGTTAGCTAAAATGTTACTGAGTTCGGGGAGTTGTTTCTGTAGCATACAGCTAACTCTCACAAGTGCGGACGCCTGTAGAGAGCCAAAGTGAACCCGTAATTTCCAGGTCCTGTTCCAGAAGTAAGAAAAATCCCTGTTAGTAACTGCTCTAATAACTAAAAATCCAGCCTGGGAGCAGGGCTGTTCTCAGTTTCTCATGTGGCTCACTGCATATGTCTAAACAAGGACAAACTTTTGAAAAACTATCCAGTTTTATTTTATATTTCACCACACTTTTACCTATAAAGCTCAGAACTTTGCGGATTAAACGTCAC